GATACAAGATTGTTGTGCGGTCCAAGGAAGAAGGTGGCGGCCATAGCCGCCAAGCTCGGACACGGACGAAGAAGAAAGAAGACGAGAGGAGGAGGGAGAGACAAAGGAGGAGAGAGAATCCATGGCCGAGGAAGAGAAAGGAGGGACGACGAAGGAGGAGGAAGCCATAGTCGGGGTGAAGTAAGAAGAAGAAGAAAGAAGGAAGGAGGGAGGAGAAGAGAAGCGAAGGTTGGTGAGAGAGAAGAGGTCAGCAGCCGTAGCCAAGTTGAGCGTTGACCAAGGCATTGACTAGAGAGTTGAGCGAAGTTGACCAAGGCGTTAACCGAGGGTTGACCGAGGCATTGACCAAGAGTTGACCAGCGTTGACCAGTGTTGACTAGCATTGACCAGAGCTGCTGACCACAAGTTTGACCAAGCTGGAGTTCATATATTCTCGCCAAGCCTTCAGGTTATCCCCTCGCCCTATGGATGTGCACTCACCCCATGGTACTTGTTGAGTCTGTCTGTCTCTTCTTTCTGCATTGAGTCTCTTTTGTCCCGATGATAGGAACTCCGTGTATGAGGTCGTAGAGCTGCGTTGACCAAACCCGCGGGCTGAGTAGGGCTTAAGTCCATGCCTGACGACTAACCGACCCGAAGGACAAACCCTCCCAAGGACCGGTACAGACCGGCGGGCTGCTCAGTGTGGCATAGTAGGCCTAAGATCCGACTTGTGGGCTGCACAACCAGTTGTCTAAGTGTTGAGAGGACTCGTTGATCTCGTCGTCCTGTTTGTGATGTTAAACAATTACTAAGGAGTTATGGCCCTTATGGGGGATCTCCTTAAATGCCTCCTGATCAGCGCTGAAGTCCTGTAGTGACAACTTAGTGATAGGTCTAGGCTAGAGACCCTAGTTGACAGGGTTCTGAACCGGAGTGAAAGCCAGGTGGGATTGACCGCAGGTGCAGGGCATTTAGGTCTGGATTGCGAAGGACAGTGGTGGCAAAGCTTCCGTCGACCATGGTAACCTGGCTGGATCAAAGGGTAAGGTTTTGCGGTCCTTAAACAGTCAGTCAGTCAGTCAAGTGGGTAGGTCTAAGTGGTGAGGAGCGGGATAATCCTTATCGTGCACCTCACACCATGGACGACTACCCTATGTACGGCTTGCTTGTGGGGTTCTCCCTTTGGGGGACCATCTGGCGATTCCTGTTCCCGTTGGGATTCTGGCACACTATGACGTGTAGATTGGAGACAGGCGGTGGAACTAGGACCACTCCTTATACAAAGGAGCAGGAAGAAGAGGCCGCCGATTCTGGCCGAGCAAAAGGCCAAGAAGGAGAAGAGGGAAGTTGTGAAGCAGGCCAAAAAGTTGCCCTTACTGGAGGAGCAAGCTGCCAAGAAAAATAAGTTGGAGGAGGAGCTGGAAAGATTGAAGAAGGAAGAAGAGGCAAAGTTGAAGGCGGTAAAAGAAGAAGAAGAAGAAGAAAGAAGAAGAAGAAGAAGAAGAAACAAAGGTGGAGGAAGACATCCCCTTAATAAGGAAGGTGATAAGAGAAAGGGGGAAGTCCAGTGGCACGAAGAAGAAGGAGGGCCCATGGTTGGAAAAGGTGTCTGAGTGGGTTGCAAACTTATCCTTGGGAGAGGACGAAGAGGCGATGTTATATGTACCAAGGGCCGAACAAGAAGCAGTAGTAAAAGAGTTGGAAGCGGAAGAGGATTCCTTAAAATGCCAGGCTATAGAAGAGAAGAAGAAGTTGGAGTGGAAGTCGCGTTTGACCAGGGAGAAGGCGCAAATGGAAGCGCAGGCGGATCTGCAGGGGAAGATGGGTGTAATGGCCAGGAATATAGAACTCCTAGCTAGGGCCCAAGAAGAGCAATATCAGTTTGCAAGGGGCCAGGATGTAGCTCTGCGGTCCATACGCCTAGGTTTCAGGGAGTTTGCACGAGAAATGATGATGCACGTGGGCACATAAGTAAAGGCCAGGATGGAGAGCACAGAGCGATTCTGCACTGGTGCCATAGAGGGCGCCAAGCTAGTAGCTCCAAGGGAGGAGGAAGCACGTCACCGTAGGGATTCAGTCAAAGTCAAGTTCCCTGATCCCTACAGTGGGAAGAAGGGAGAGAACTTGGACAAGCGGGAGACGAAGATTAACTATTATGTTCACCTCCAAAAGATCGTACCTGAGGAGCAGGTTCTAATCGCGTTCCACGCTCTCAAGGACGAAGCGGCAAGCTTCGCCAGATCGCTCGCCCGCTTTGCTAAGTGTGATAATGATATGGTAGCTTACTTGGCGATCACCCCCCTAAACGAATTCTTTAAGCTGTTGCGCGAGAGATTTGCTGATGTTACTAGGGGGATTAGAGCCTCTGACAAGCTCCAGACTATCCACTCGCTTCCAATGGAAGAGTGCCAGAGCACTCAAGGGAGTAATGGATGAATTGGTAGGTGTCCCTGACCATGGGGTCACTGAGACCCAACTGGTCAACCTATTCTATCGTGCCATGCCCGAGCTGTTGCGCGGGCACTTCTTCGAAAAGAGCAAGGAGCCGGCCATGAGCTACGATACCTTGAGTAGGGAAGTGGTAGCTTTTGAGGCGCAGTCCATGCCAATTTCCACTTTTTGGCATAAGGACCTTGACAAGGGCAAAAAGTGGAAGGGTCGTACCATCTCTGGCCAAGTCAAGGCCAAGGATCACCTGATCGTGACTCTAGATGAGGGTGGTATGGAAGAGGTCCCATAAGATCAGATAGAGTGGGGCCTCGAGGAGGAGGACAGTAGTGTGAGTCAGGGGAGGACTTATGCTGCCGTCGCGGCTGGAGGGAGGCCTCAAGGAAGAGGAGGAGGTCGGGGCCAAGGGGGCCAGGCTTCCGCTGGTCAAGGACAGGGCGATCAAGGGGTTGGCGGCAGAGGAAACCTCCAAGCGGGAGGTAGGGGTCAAGGTCCCCCGCAAAATTGCTCTCGTTTTAGTCGATCACCTAGGAGGGGTGGATAGCACCCTGGTCTGCCGCAAGGCAGGCCGTGGGAAGATCTGGGCTTGGAGCAAACTGTATGGCAAGGCGTATAGACCAGGATCAGTGTATCTACTGCGGTGATCCGGGGCACATTATCAAATACTGCCCCAAATATAGAGAAACCCGGAGTGTTTCACAGGCAACAAAAAGCAACCGCCGATAGGGGTTGCAACTGCCCCTACCCTTAGACCATGTGGAGAAGAGTGTGCGCACCACAGAGAACCTCCCAAACCACATGTATCTACTGCAGAGGTTGCTGGCCAGTGCCTAGACAACTGTTCAGAGACTGCTTGTGTTAGAGTCTCTCTAGGCACCTCCCTCACAAGCGTGGCAGAAGAGTTGAAGGAGAGGATGCCTGTCTGGGCCAAGATGAAGAAGGATGCGAAAGGACAACTAGTGTTAGTAGATGTAGAGATGTTTAGAGGACGAGTAGGGGCCCTTATAGACAGTGGGGCCACCCGCAGCTGTATTAGTAGGAAAGCGCTGCAAAAGTTAAAGTTGAATCTAAAGGTCCAGAAGTTAGAAGACCCTATAGTATATATCCTCACAGGCAATCGCACTATGCGTCCTAGGAATAACCTAGGGAGAGGCAGCAGGGGCCACACTCCACTTAAGAGAGCATGAGTGTAGGCTCCCTAGTCCATTAGGCGAAGTTAAGACTGCTCGCGTGTTTCATGTGTCAGGAGTAGAGAACTCCTTGGCATATTGCTGCCTCAGTGCTCCCGCGTTCGCACAGCTAGTGAGAAAGGAGCAATTGGAAGAACAGGTTTTTGTAGCCTATGTCAGAGGCCTGTTACTGAGCCTAAGGAAGAGAAACCCATTGATCCGGCTATTGCCAAGTTGCTGGAAGAGTATACAGATTTGGCCAAACCGCCTACAGGAGTAGTGCAGCGACCGATCCAGCATCGTATTGAGATAGAGCCTGATAGTAGAACTCCTAAGGGGGCTATTTACAAAATGTCCCCAAGGGAATTGGAGGAGTTGCGCAAGCAATTAGACGAGCTCCTAGAAAAGGGGTGGATTAGGCCAGTTCGTCGCCATTTGGAGCACGTATTCTTTTTTTCCCTAAAAAGGAGGGCGAGCTTAGAATGTGCATAGATTATAGGGGTCTTAACGTCGTCGCCGTAAAAAATGCAGAACCGCTGCCCTGTATAGATGATTTATTAGACCAGGTGCAGCGTTGCAAGTACTTCTCGAAAATAGATCTTAAGTCCGGCTATCATCAGATAGAAGTCCACCCTGATGATCAATATAAGACGACATTCGGGACTAGGTATGGGCACTATGAATTTATAGTGATGCCCTTTGGACTAACCAATGCGCCAGCWACGTTCCAGCGTTGTATGAACGATTTGTTCAGGCCGTGATTAGACAAATTTGTAGTAGTATACTTATATGATATTCTAGTTTTTAGTAAGACACTCCAATAGCATGAGGGCCATCTAAGCCAGGTCTTGGAGAAGTTGAGAGAAGCTAACTTCAAAATCAACGCGAATAAGTGCGAGTGGGCCAAGACACAAGTCTTGTACTTGGGCCACGTCTTAGATGGAGATGGCATAAAACCTGCGATCGGAGATTTGCCAACGCCCCGCACATTAATAGAATTGCAGTCGTTCCTAGGCCTAGCTAACTACTATAGGAAGTTTGTGTGGAACTTATCCACCATCGCTGCACCCCTTCGTAGGTTGTTAAAGAAAGAAGCAATCTGGGAATGGGATAGATACTGTACTTCAGTCCTGAAGAAGTTAAAGCGAGCCTTGATAGAGTATCCAGTCCTCAAGGTAGCCGATATGTCCTTACCTTTTGTCGTCACCACTGACGCGAGTCCGTACGGTATAGATGTTGTTTTACGGCAGGATGATGGCAATGGGTATAGACCCGTACAGTTCATGTCCGCTAGGATGTCGTCAAAGAAGGTAGCGACATCCACCTACGAGAGGGAACTCTACGCTCTCAGGCAAGCATTAGATCACTGGAAGAATTACCTGCTTGGGAGGCACTTCAAGGTGTATTCATACCACGAGACATTGAGGTGGTTGAAGATGCAAGCCAAGATGACACCTAAGCTTACTAAGTGGGCCGACGAGATAGACCGGTTTGACTTTGAGCTCAAGCCAATGAAAGGGAAGTATAACGTAGTCGCGGACGCTCTGAGGAGGAGGGTTGATTACTTTGGAGCGATAGTTCACTATCTGGATATAGGGAGAGACCTGGAACAGAAAGTCAAGGAAGCGTATGCGCAAGCGATCTCCTCAAAAGAGTTAAGGAGGCTCCAGCGACTGAACCAGATTACCGCACTATAGATGGCTTACAGTTCGTGAAGACTAACGTAGCTGACCGCTTATGCGTTCCCAACAATGAGGAGATCCGTAGTTTAATCTTAGGGGAGTGCCATGACACAGAGGGACATTTTGGTTGGCAAAAGACATTAGCCATCCTTATGCACATGTATACATGGTCGGGTATGAAAGCCGACTGCATAGAGTATGTGCGTAGTTGCAAGGTATGCCAACGAAATAAGACACTACGCGAGCCCCTCTTGGTCTTCTCAGACCACTGCTTATAAACTGATGAGAGTTTATGGCTCTAAGTTGTTAATGTCATCTGCCCGTCATCCAAAGACGAACGGTCAGAGAGCAGATGAACAAAGTCCTAGCAAGTTCTTAGAATGTGTATTAGACCTGACCAGATTAACTGGTAGCCAGCGCCTATAATAACAGTGTGCACTTAGCCTCTTGTCGCACACCCAACGAATTACATAAGTCCTTTAGACCGCGCAGACCATTTGAAGGACTGAACCTGGATCAGATTCAGAGGCTACCGCCCGGTACGAGGGAGTTTGCGATACAGCACGAGAAAGAGATAGCTACCGTTGTAGAGAACCTCAAGAAAGCCCAGCATAACATGATAGAATAAGCCAATTAGCACCGTCGCCCGTCAGAGTTCCAAATAGGCGACTTAGTCTGGGTCAAGTCAAAAGATTTTGCTCCTGACGAGAACATCTCGCAGAAGCTATTGCCTGCCTATAGAGGACCGTGGCCAGTCCTAGAAGTTAAGGGCGGACAGGATGGGCCGTCCTACACCATAGAGATTCCAGCACACCTCCATACTCACCCAGTTTTTCATGCATCAAAGTTGTTGCCTTGTACCACGAGTCAGTAGTTTCCATCACGGAGGTCTATGATGCCTCCCGATATGGATGGAAGGTACGTCATTGATCGCATCGTAGCAGAAGATGTCTTCAGATCAGGAGGTAGAGGTCGTCCACAGAAACAGTTCAAGGTGAGATTTGCCTATCAAGAACCAGAAGACGACCGCTGCTTTACCCGAACAGAGCTTCTAGAGACAGCTCCCGATATAGTCCGAGCCTACGAGAGAGATAAGAAAGGTAAAGGTCCTGCCTTGGACTGAAGTATTCTCAGAGGACCTCGAATTTAGGCCGGCTGGAGTGAACGGTTTTCACCTTTGCAGTAGCAGATGCGGATCCCAGGGCCCGATCCCTAGACCTCACCTCACCCGTGTACAGTACCCCTGTGTGTTTGAACCCATGACCTGCGTTTTAGGAGTTAGTTGTTGTCTGTCGTAGGTCGGTGTAGTTGTCGGGTCTTGAACCGTAGGTCTGTTCAGTAGGGGTCAATGTTGTGTAGAGGTCGTAGCTGTAGCGATTCTGAAAGGTCAAGGTTGTAGCTGCTACAGTCCTGAAGGGTCAAGGTCGTAGCGGCCCCAGTTTTGCAAGGTCAAGTCCGCAGGCTTCCGGAAGGTTCGGATGTGGCCTTTCGAACGTTGCTCACAGCAGACCAGAGGCAATTGGGCAAGTGGGCAAGTGGTGAGTCCAACCTTGCCTAGTCAGCGGTACCCAGTCCCAATCTCACTTAGTCCAGTCAGCAAGTACGATGTGGAACTGTGTGCACCATCGGCCCGGTGGAAAGTGGCAGACCAGCGACTTACAGAAGTATAAATCAAGAAGCAGTGTCCAGCCATTCACTCATTCCTGTGTGAGCCATGAGGAAGCGCTGCCCAGGCGTCTTGTGCGAGGTGGTCTGCAGATGCCCGAAGCCGAAGTGGGCTGAAGGAAGGAGATAGCGTCCAGTGTTAGTAGTAGCGAGCGGCCATAGCCGCCATAGGTTAGAGATAGTGTTCAGTGTGTAAGTGAGTGTGAGTGGAGTACAGCGTGAGTGCATGTGGGATATTGAGGGAGATCCAGAGTTGGGTGTGTGCGAACAGTTGAGGTGTATTCAGTGTTGGACAAGGGAAGTGGAGGCGCTCAGGAGCCATAGCCAGTTGAAGCAAGTTTGTATCTGAACTGTGTTCGCGACTTGAATATCTCTGAGCTTTGTGTGGGGGCATAGCGCCAGTGTGGATTGCCATCTGTTTGCTTGCATACGAAGTGAAGAGGAAAGTGAGTCTGATTGCATTCTGCTATATTTTTGCTGTATCGTATTCCATGTGCCTGTGGGCCAATTGAAGAACGAGAAGAGGAGAAGGAAGGGTGAATGGTTCCTCTAGTCGATGGATGGATGGATGGAGTGAGTGACTGAGTGAGTGAGCGAGTGACTGAGTGAGCGAGTGAGTGAGTGAGTGAGTGAGTGAGTGAGTGAGTGAGTGAGTGAGTGAGTGAGTGAGTGAGTGATTGGTGGTTCTGGTGGTTCTGGTGGTTCTGGTGGTTCTGGTGGTTCTGGTGGTTCTGGTGGTTCTGGTGGTTCTGCTTCAAACAGATCCACTACCTGCACAATCAAGCCTGGATGAGGGTGATCCATGGGAGCATCACAAGTTCAAACGTAATGCTGGATTCGAATTGGACACCGAAGTTGAGCGATGTTGGAGTTTCACAGCTCTTATTGAAAGACGTACCTATGGACAGCCTCGTAGGGACAGGTGGGTTCTGTTTTCAATTGTTATACGTGGAAGCTTGGCAGAACGGGAAGAGGCGAAGAAACGCAGGGAGGGGCTTAAGGATTCAAGCAAATGACCTGTTGATGATTCACAGCAAAGGAAAAAAAAAAACTGGCCACAAATTTGTTTTTTCGAGAGCACGATGATGATGTGGCGGTTGCTCACTATCATAA